GGCTGGCCTTGAACTACTTTGTAACCCAGGTTGGCCTCCAACTCGCACAAATCCTGCCTCAGCTTCCCAAATGCCAAGATTACAGGCTTGAGCAATCATACCTGGCCCTTTTGTCTTAACTATTTTTTTCAGTCACCTTTCTTTCAGATGTTATCTATATCAACTGCTTCCATTTCATCTATTAGAACATCTGGCAGGAAATACTGAAGGGCTAGGAGAATACTGGAATTCAAAAGGTGGTGTTAAAATATACCCAAGGCTTTTAGCTTGGCAGTAAGAGCAGAACTAGAGGATTCTGAGATACTTCCATGGAAGTGGGAAAGTCCTAAGAAAGGAAAAACGATTCTGGAAAAAAGTAGTCCTAGTGTAGACCACATTCTGCAAAAAATGGTTCTGAGGCAAGTACAGTGGTATAAGGCTGGAACCAGGGATATATGCAGGCAGGAAGATCTCTAGTTTAAGGCCAAGTGAGAGGACAGGACTCTCAAACCAACCAAACAAACAAACATACAATGCCCCCCAAAACCAGACCTATAATAGTGCAATTATACTGAAAATTTTAAGTTTCATGTTTGAAAAATAAAGCATGATATCAAATGTAGAAATACATTTTTTGGAAGAAACCCAAATATAATTCAACCAGTAATTCTCATTTCTCTTTTAATAATATTACACTCTAAACTATATAAATAAAACTCAAATTAATTTCTGTTCTGTTCCAAAAAGAGTTCTGACTCTATGCATACGCACAATGTGTACCAGTTCTAAAAACACTTAATATGTCACATAAGTACCTTTTGAGAATGCAAGAGAATGATAATCTCCACATGCAATCTGAATCATACATTTTTCTTGTAAAATGCTTTGAAACCTAAGGAGAAAATATGTCAGTCACCATAATAAAAGCCACAATATGAATGTGAAAACTACTTATATATTTAATTTATAATGAAATGCATGGAAAACTTTAAATTTACTTTAGCATATTCTGTACATCCAAAAGTACTATATAACATGTATTAAATATTTTAAAGATAATTAATGAACATTATATAATTGTAATAAGATACTCAAAATACTCTTACACAAACAATCTTCTGATATAGGAACAAATGCAAATTCAAAGTAAGTTCTAACTTATATTATTTACTAGGGAAAAATTTCACAAATCATACGTGATAATGTATCCCTCCCCCACTCCCTAGTTGAAAACATTTACATCTGGAAAAAAGTTCTAGGAATATTGTGAGGATCAACTTAGTGACAGCCCAACTTGGGGTTAGGCAAGCTTTATTACCTGCTTCCTTTAGATGCATAACCTACACACCATCCTTAGCCCCCGGATTGGCTTGCGCTGTACTGACAGACTTCACCAGTAAGGGAAAGTTCATTTTTCCTTTATGATACAAGGGACAGGACTCATACATGGTAACAGCTTCCTACACAAACTATTACTGTCCTTCAGAAGAAATTAAGTCATATCTAATGAAAGAGAAAAGCAATACTCACCTTGCAGGTTCTCCGCTGTAGCTATACTCAAAGGTTTTTCCATCTGAGGACAGCACCAGCATGTGCTCTGCTCCTTGGTCCATGGAATGAATCTTCATCTTTTTCCCTAACTTCAGGTACTCTGCAGAGCAAATCCAACCAGGAGCTCATCACTCTGATTATTACCTACTATTGTCATAGGTTTGCTATGATAACATACCTCAAGTACCTGGAAAAAGATTCAACTAGACAATCTCTGAAGTAACAGTGCTTTCTCTTTAAGAAAATTCAAAATACACATAGCAAAAAGTAATAAACAATTGTCTTGCCAGTAGACTTCAATTTGAAAATCACTTATTTCCTTAAGTGAATTACACATTTAAAATAGCCAATTAAGAATCTGCTTCTAAATCAAGTGACAAAATTAAAAAGACACTAGAAAACATCATTTTTGGATAACCTAAGCATTTCAGTATCCACTATAGGGTTAGGGATATAGCTCAGTGGCACAAGTGCCTGCCTTGTGAGCTAAAGGTCCTAAGTTCAATTTCTGGCACAAAAAAAAAGAAACAAAGAAAAGAGAAACAGAGAGATTGATTATACTGACACATGGCCTATCCAAAAATAACATAAGAAACAATAATAAATAAATCTACAATGATTTGAATAAAATTCAATGCCTACAGGCCTACATTCTCAAAAAGAATAACTGTTTTGGGGATCATTTAAAAGATGCCATGGTAAGATGGCAGTGGCCAAGGACTGCAACGTGGTAATTGTGATGACCAAGCCAGAGTTGCTGGATGAGGAAGAAGCCAAGAGGGAGGCAGAGTCCTTCAAGGAGCAAGGAAATGTATACTAGGCCCAAAAGGATTACAACGAGGCTTACAACTACTACATGAAGGCCATCGATATGTGTCCCAAAAATTGGAGCTACTATGGGAACCAGGGGGCCATGCTCATGATGCCAGGCCAGTTCCAGGAGGCGCCAGGAGATGTGCAGCAGTTGGTGTAGCTGGATGACGGCTCCATGTAGGGATATCTATGAGTGGGCAAGTGCCACCTCTCTCTGGGGCATGCTATAGCAGCATGTTGTAGTTCCCAGAGAGCTCTAGAACTAACTGCATCACAAAAACGCTCCGGCACAGGGTTCAAGAATGGTAATGCAGTTATGGAATATGAGAAAATAGCAGAAATGAATTTTGTGAAGCTCAACTTTTGGAAGGTGATTTTCTGCATGGACCTAGCCCTAGAGCTCGCCCCCACCTTCCACTGCTTCAAGATCCTCAAAGCCAAGCACCTGGCAAGGCTAGGTCGCTTTACCCAGAGGTGCAGTCTGTGGCCAGCGACATCCTGTGGTTAGATTCCACCAAGGTGGAGCCTTGCCTCTACTATGAGGTCTGCATTAAGAAGGCTGTGCAATTATCCTTGCAGGCCTTCCAGATGGCACTGGAAGAAGGCCTGAGGCCTGCAGGAACGCCAAAGCCCTCAAAGCAAAGAAGGAAGATGGGAAAAAGCATTTAAAGATGGCAGTAGTAAACTAGTATATGAACTGTACAGTGAAGTCTTGGCCATGGATCCCTACGACAAATGCCAAGCTCTACTGTAACCAAGGAACCGCTAACTCCAAGCTCAAGAAGCTGGATGAGGCCACTGGAAACTGCACCCAGGCAGTGACGCTGGATGACACCTACATCAAGGCTTACTTGAGAGCACAGTGTTACACAGACACTGCACAGGATGAGGAGGCAGTGCAGGATTACGAGAAGGTCTGCCAGACAGAGAAGACAAAAGAGCACAAATAGCTCCTGAAAAGCGCACAGCTGCAGCTGAAAAAGAGCAAGCGGAAAGACTACTACAAGATCCTGGGAGTGGACAAGAATGCCTCTGAGGATGAGATCTAGGGCATACTGGAAGTGGGCCTTGACACACCACCCGATCCGCAGAGCAGAGCCAGTGGCAAGGTGCAGAAAGAGAGAAGTCCAAAGAAGTGAGAATGGCCTTCACCATCCTCTCAGACCCCAAGAAGATACACTACGACAGTGGCCAGGACCTGGACAAAGAGAGCATGAACATGGGTGATTCTGACACCAACATTTTCAAGGCTTTCTTCGGGGATTCTGGGGGTTTCAGCTTTGAAGCGTCTGGTCCAGGGAATTTCTTCTTTCAGACTGACTAATGAAGGCTACCCCTCTAGTACCTGCATGCACGGACTTGCATGGCTGAGTCTCGCGTGTGGACCTGGCCACCTCCCCTATTCTGGCTCCACACCAGCAACCCTGCCCCTCGACCAGCCATGCTGTCGCTGGGGCTGTGCTATAAGCATGGCAGAAGGGAGCCAAGCTGCAGATGGGGAGGCAGCTTGTGAATCTTTGTTTTACTGTTTCACTTTATTTTTTAAAAAAGACAAATGGAGAATTTTTTTTTAATGCCGTGGAAAGAAATTTTATTGGAAGTAGTAAACTCACCCCTTTCTTAAAATTGGATTTAAAATTGTTCACTAGTTAGTATTTAACCTTATTTAATTTATCCACAAAAATTAAACTATGACAGTTTGGGGACTTTTTTCGCTATTAACAATGAAATGGGTTCTATTCGCATAAAAATCTTAAAACACAAACCATATTCCAAATACTAATGCAATAAAAAATTTGGTACGAAGAAATGTCTCCAAAACTTAATTTGTATTCTTTGAGAATGCATTTCAAATCAATTTGAGAGGTGTATTCAAGAAATCGTTTAGGAAAAAAAAAATGAGACCCCGTCCTTTCATAAAAATAAATTCCAAAGATACCAAAAGTTTTAACTTAAAAATTACACTCTAAAATTACTACAAATAAGAGCACATGTAAAATAGCCTGAAGTGTGAACAGCTTTCTAACTTAACACAAAATCTTTAATCTCCTTAAAAACAAAAAACAAAATAAAAAGTGGTAAGACTATAAAAAGTTTAGATTGTTCAAACAAAAGCAACTTCTACAAAGGCATGGTTAGAAAAAAAATTATAATGTACATAACGACCAAAAGGTTATTCTTTTTTTTAGAAGTTATTCTTATTCAATATTCAAATACATCTTTCAAAAAAAAATTAAAAAAACCTCAGTATCTAAAACACCAGGCAAAGATATGAACAGTAAGCCAAAAAAGGAATGCAAAAGACTAACAAAAACTAAAAGGATGCTCCAACGTACTCAAATTAAATGTACAACACACAACTACACAAAGAGCCATTTTCTTCCCTGACGGGTAAAAATAGAAAAATGAAGTGAGCATTTACTTTTCCCATCTGTAAAGCGGGAACCACAGCAGCAAACGCGGGGCGTTTAAATTTTGCAAGAGCAACGAAAATGTAAAGTAAGGTATCAATGTAAAAGATAACCAAATTTTCTTAAAGTTCACATATTTGGCGTAGGTTTTTTAAAAAATTGTTTTATTCTGGTGCGGGCCAGCACACCC